GACTAGTTCTCACAAGCAGGTAAGTTATGAATGTACACGAAACCCTATATACCAAAATTATTAATTTAATTTATTGATAATTATAAACATAGTTAAGAATAGTTAGTTGCAAAACAATAAAATAGTATAATACAGTGACTCATGTCAGTCTATGTACAAAGTTAGTGTATAACTATACCAATTGATGTAGTTGTCGAGGTGGTGGTGCAGCAGGTGGTGCGCGTTGGCGGCGGGCTGGTGCGCGGGCGTGGCCACGGTGTAGCGGTCAGCGCCCGCCGCCCACTGCAGCACGCAGGTCGCGCGCTGAGCCACACCGAAGCCCAGCACCAGCGACCGGTACGTGTACGACCGGATGCAGATGCCGTGCCACAGTGTCTCACGCTCTTCACAACAACAAAAAATTATATATTCATAATATAAATTCAATATTTTGTAATACAATTCAGGAAACAGATGTGTGAATATTATATACTTTAAATGTATAGAATTAAATAACTATGTATTTTAATGGCTAGCTACCTTGTGCGGGTCTTAGCATGAAGTCATAAAGTAGGGTGTGTAAATGCACGATGGCGGCCCAGTCGGCGAGGAACGCGTCCGCCGTGCGGCCCGCGTCCGTGCCCAACTCGTACTGCAGGTACACGCACCGCCTCTCGCCTGATACAACAATATTGTCTTCACGATCGAGATCTCGATTGGCAATATCAAGCTATATACTAAGTAAACTTTCATACATCTCAAGATTAAATTTAAAATCTCATAGTAGCACAAGTTGCAAAAGGTATAATAGTAAAAATACAGACCTTGTTCTTTGGGATTGGGCGTCCTGATGGGTGATCCGTGGAATACGATCTCAGCGGTCCAGACGCGCGCATGGTTTTTGGTAGTGAGGCGTATGGTGGCAGCGAGCAGGCGCATGCGCAGCGCCTCCGCGGCGCGCTCACTCGCCTCCTCCGGCCGTGGCAGCGCAACTATCCGCATGCCCAGCGAAGACCCGCTCCACTCCGGCATCACGCCGCCGTGCGTCACGCCGCGCGCCGCCAACTTGTACAAAATTATAACATGCTTAGTAAATACATACATATAAAATGAACTCTATATATTATGTTATTACATTAATAATTTCAAATCTTGGCGTCTTGGAACGTCTTACGAGTCGCTGCACAGAAGACAATCTCAGGTGTAGCGGGGCGTGAAGGAATGCAGGGATGATAAACTGCGCATCGCGCACTCAACGTCAGCCACCAAATAAATTGAGCTACCTAAATTAATAATGTAATTTATGATCATACCTCCTGTGCGAGGTTAACGAAAGGCACGCGCTCGTCGGCAGCAGCCACGACGTGCGCGAGCTCGGGCAAGTAGTAGGCGGGCTGGCGCACGCGCACCGCTCGGCTGTTGGCTGCAGACAACTTGCGCTTGCCGGCCTGCATACCTATATATATGTATACACATATAAATATTCTCATATTGACCAGAACACTTTTACCACTGATTTTAAGCCTACAAATACCTAGAATAGAAATTTCATAATAGTATAGTTATTATAAAAAATGTTACCTGGAGTATCGAGTGGTGTGAATGGACCGTGCGTGAGTGTGAATGTATCGAGTTCGACGAGGGAGTGCAGCTTGAGGAAGGCGCGCGAGGCGGGCGACGCGTTAGCGCTGGTAGTCGCACCGCTCTGGATCAAAATACATTTATCAACGACGAAAGACTCTTGAAAAAGAACACAAGAACAAAGATATTTAACAAGTATATTTATTATATCCATAATTGAAAACTTTCGTTACTTTATTTATTGCTTGGGATTTCTGTATTTTTGTTGTTTCATATGTGGTCGTAAATATGTACTGACCTCGTCCTCGCACTCGTCAGGCGTGCAGCGACGCGCACCTGCGAGGTGGAAGGCGAGCGCCACAGAGCTCGCGCTGCCGCTGTTGCTGCAGTTGCTGGTCGTCGCCGTGCTGCCCGCCGCCACCTCCTTCATTTCCACTATCTAACAAACATAGGATTCATTTTAGGAAGAAATAAATAAATTATAAATGATCACTCTTATAACCAAAGAAACAGTGATATGTACTAAGAGAAATATCTAATTTCTAAGCTCTTAATAATTAAGTTTAACAAACCAGTAGATAATCAGTGTGGCGGTGTAAAGTTACGTAGAGCCGATCAGTAGACAGCTTGTTCAGGGGATGGTCCGGCCCGTGAAGGAAAGGCAGATGTTCGCAAACGCTGGCTGGCAAATGTTGCAGAGTTTTCTCACATCGACGGGCCACTAGCCAGAATCTGGAACAGAGATTCTGTTAGTCCGAATTCACGGTACTAAGTCACCTAAGTTATGATAAGGTACCAAAGTCGAATATTAAATTCCAAAACATTCTATTAGAGACCTGAGTTGTGTTAGCAATGATTTAACAAGCGGCAGGTTAGCGGCGGCGAGCGCGGCCGCGAGCTCGGGCATTCGCGGCGTGGCGGGGTAAGCGGGCACGCGCGCGCGCAGACGCCCGCCGTGAGCGCCCACTGACACCAGCAGCTGCTCGGCGCGCAGGCAAGGCCACACCACACTGCACGCCAGCACGCACGGCCATCCGCTCACTGTGCACTCAACCTGCACATACGCAAATACTGTAAATACCTATCATCTTTCAGATGGGAAAGTAATATTAAACAGGTTACATTGAACTGTGCAAAAAAAGGTAGACATCTCACCCCTAAATCATTGAACAGAACTTTGAGATCATTGAGACGCTGTCGTGAGCGCACATGTACGGTATGGGCGAGCAGACGCTCCATAGAAGGCGCATGCGGGGTGAGCGCGGCCGCCACGCGCTCGCCACCCGCCAGCGCCGGCACGTGCCACACGCACAGCGACTCCCCCTCCGCACCAATTATCACACGGTATCCCAGTTCACAGCCTAGCTCCCTGTTATACAATGTAACTTAATATAGTCGTATGTTTATAACATACACTAATACTAAAATATTGCTTACAACTCAAAAATAAATATTTCCTCAAAGAACTATTGTATTATAGACAAATTTTAGCTTTAGTCATACTGCTAAAAAGTTGCCTATTGCTAAGTTTTATGCAATAAATTTACCTCCAATATGATACTTGAAGCTTCTGGCCAGGTATGTACTTGTCAACTTGCAAATGTTTAGCCAGGCGGTCACGACACAATCGTAATGTTTGTGTATAGAGCAACTCTAAGGACAACGAGCGGCAGAAGTAGCGCAGAGCAGTGAGAGCCCCACTTAAACCTGCAGCAGCCAGTCGCGCCTGTGCAACTCCACGCAACCAAGCTAGTTGTGATGTGTGAACCAATGGTTTACCCTCTGAAACAAATTCTCAATTTTAAGCACTTTTGGCATTATAACACACAATGACTTTATTATATCGAATTAAATTGGAATTTTAACATTAGTCAGATGTTTAGTCAACATACCTCCAGTCTCATAGTCTTGAATTAAAATAGCAATATCCAATAAGCGCCAAGGAAGGTTAGGTGCATCACCCATTACTGTTAGTGACACACTAAACTCTTGACCAACAGAAAAAGTTGCTCTACCATTTTCAACCTAAAAGAAGTAAAAATAGCATTAAAATATGTAAAACATCTATAAAATTAACTAGTTTTTGTTTAATAATTATTTATTAAAGTTATACCTTTAAGTTTCTAACATCAGTTGGCAATGAAGCTGTAGTAAGACGTTGACGGACAACATGGGCTAAGGCACGTAATGTGGTGCGTCTCTCAGCAGGAGTTAATGATGGTGGTGGCACCAATCTCTCACGAATTACAGCTGGAAGTCGGCTATATGTGCCTAATGTAAGTACTTCCACTGCTGCTGCCATATGAAATGTTGGAAGCCTAAAATATTAAAATATTTCTTAAATAACCAGTAACTTAATGCAGTTAAACCTGGATAAGCAAGAGCCCTTCACTTGGAGAGGTTTCACCCATACGCAATTTTCTTGCTCGTGAAATTCATGCATTGGGAATGGATAATAGCTCACATATAGAGGTTTCTTGCTTATCCAGATTCATTTGTATACCCATTCAAACAAGGTGTGATGGACACATAGGTAAACTAAAATTGAACTTACCTAGCATGAACTAGAGTTTCACGAGCCACACGTGCTAACACATCAGCAGTTTCAACGAACAGTAGAGCTTGTTTGTCTAAAAAGGCCATAATATGCGCTGACCGATCCACTTTAGTTGCACTGCTCGCCCATTTTACTAGTGCGAGTAGCCGTACAAATAGTTGTCTTGTACGGGCACTGAATTTATAGATTTCAATTTTGCGTTCTATGTCGGTTTTTCTTGGCAATCTAAAATAATAATTATAATACGTAGTTACAACATAACTGGCTAAAGCACTAATATATTTGCACAATCATTACTTACAATTCAGCCAACACTGTGAGCTCATCGTAAGTTCTCTGTACAATAAAGTCAATCAAAAGGGCTAATGAAATAGAACCTCCGCGGGCTCCACCGCCTTCTGCACCCTGGGTGCAACCTTCGATTGCTACTGGCACCATTTTGATGGGTGTAGTAGCTTCTGGTAAAATATATACTTCAATCGTAAACTAAATATACCATTTTATTTGATTTTTAATGAAAATTCAAAAGCTAACCAAAACTAAAACAATATAACATTTTCACGAAAATAACAAAATGTCATCACTCTCACACTCTCTGTCACTTTCTCATGTCAGCGTCAATGTTGCTAACATTGACATTGTTGGTAAACCTAAATTTAAAACTTTTTTTAAAAGTCAAAAGAGCCAAGGTAATATTAGTAAAAAAAAAATTCGATATATTCAATGTTTATTATAATATAGGTATTCAAGAGTGAAAATAACTTCTTAATTTTTTCCTCCAAAAATATGATATTCATTGAGAATTGTAATTGGACATTTATTGTGGACTTTTGTCAAAGTGACATTTGTTGTGACAGTAGATTGTTGTCATAAAATCTTTAACTTCAAAAATCTTAACTATTTGCTTCAGTAGTATTCATGAGTTTATGTGTTGAAGTATGTTAAAAAACCTGAGTAATATTATTTAACTTGTGTATCAATGATTCGCAACTTTTACGTATAAAATCAAAATTATTTCTAAATACCTTTTTCGGGTATTAACTTTTTATAATTCGTGTTAGTTTAATATTTTTCTTACTGGTGTTAGTAGATGAACATTTTTTCTACATTTTCAAGGAAAAATTTAGTTTTTGCTAACATCAAAAGTTTGTGTAAAGCTAGGAAGTGCTTTCAACGAATTCGAGTTGTAAATATGGGTTTGCTGTCTGAAGGTAGCCCTCTTTCATGGGAAGAAACAAAGGCGTTGGCAGAACACGTGCGTCAACACGGAATAGAACAATTTATTAACTTATACAGTAAACTACGAGAACGGACTGGAGATGTCTTAAAATGGGGAGATGAGGTTAGTTTCATAAAAACTTGATGCTCTTGATTAAAAATGTTTTTGATGTGTTTTCTATTAAGAATTTACAGTATAAAGTAACATTAATATTAAATTTACAGGTTGAATACATAATAGTAAAATTTGATGATGAAAATGAGCGTGCTACTGTGAGTTTGAGAGCTGATGATCTGTTACCAAAACTGCAAGAAAAGGAGCATGCAGATCCACAGAGTAATCATTTAATTTACTTTTTACTTACTCTCACAAGTATCAATTGAATTATGCCAATTTTTTTAAGTGGAACTGGTAAATTGTATATACAAATGGTACTTGCACCTTTTTCATTGTATTAGTAAAGACATTCCAATTAAACAATTTACTATACAAACAACATAATGTTTAAGTCATATTTTCTACATCTTACTACATTTAAAATTATATTGTGTAATATTTGTGAGTAATATAACATTCATTGCTTTATTATAACTTACATAAAACCAGAACCAGTAGTTTCTTACAGATCTGAATAGATTAGATTATTTTTTTTAACTATTACTCTGCTTACCTATATATTCTTAAATGAATTTATTCATTCCCATAATATATTTATGCATTACACCTAAAAATAACAACTCAAAGTCCATGGATTATAATTAATTAATATTAGATAAGAAATGAAGTAGGTACTATAATGACTTATGTTTTGCTATGTAATATTTTCTATCATCTTATTATATCATTCATTTATGTCAATCTACTGAACTTTTTCTATAAAACTGTAGAATGAATGTCTATGATGGTTTACTGCTGGTCATAAAAATTATGTAATAGACAAAAGAAATATAAAAGCCATTTGTTGCCAGTTTAGTAGTAATGAGGAAATCTCATGTTACCTGTTGACTAAACAATTACACATTAGTCTTTTGTTTGATATGATTTATAGATTGGTTTTGCTCACTTAACCATATTTGAGAAACAAACATTTATATGAAGTTCTAATTTTAGATGTTAAATCATTGTGGCGTCCTGAGTATGGAGCGTACATGATTGAAGGCACACCGGGGAAACCTTATGGTGGCTTATTGGCTCATTTTAATATTGTAGAAGCTAATATGCAATATCGTAGAGCTGAAGCCAGTACACTGCTGAATAATGGAGAAGTGATAATGAGTATCACAAATTTTCCAAGGTTCTAAATGAAATTATATTTTTATTAATAAATTGTAAATTTCGTAACAGCTTATTTTAAATTACTCTTATGTTTATTTTAGATTAGGTTGTCCAAACTTTACAAATCCACCATTTACTCCTAACCCAAAGACTGGAGTAACTCTGTCACATTTTTTCCCTGATGAAGCAATATTTCCGGGACATCCTCGTTTTAAAACATTAACAGCGAATATAAGAGAGCGGAGAGGGGAAAAAGTAGCCATCAACATACCAAGTAAGTAAATAAAATAATGTTATATCTGGAACAAATCTCAGCACTTCTTAAGTTATAGGGGCAATAGTTGTCCATATTGTCAGTACATATTAAGATGGAAACCATAATGGAGGCTTGATAAAACCCAGCTATAAACTTCTATCAATATGTATTAAACTACAATCCATAATCAAGCAATGAATTGAGACGAATTATGTTTTTTTTTAATATTTACGCTATGAAATAACTTAGCTAGTATCACTGAATATTTTTTGCTGGTTTATAATATCTTGCACTTTTTGTGTTGAAAATTGACTGCAGCGTCATTGCTACAATTGCACTGAAGATGCGAACAAAAAATTCACCTTGGTCACTAAAAATACATTATAGATGCAACCAATAAAAAAATAAATATAAAATAAGCTCAATATTTTACAGTAAAATGCATTATAAAATTCTTTGCATCTTTAAATGTTTAAAAACAAAATTCTCGCAGTGTAAATATATGTAACAAATATTCTTTTACTTTTAAGTCTTTAAAGATTTAAATACGAAAATACCAGTGGACAACTCTCATGACCTGGAGCCAGGGATAGCTTTACCAGACTGTGTGTATATGGACGCTATGGGTTTCGGCATGGGCTGCTGCTGTCTGCAGCTCACATTCCAGGCTTGCTGTATCACCGAGGCACGAACATTGTACGATCAGCTTGCGCCGCTATGCCCTATCATGGTAAAGTATAAATGCTTGTCTTAAAAGTAACTTTTTAAAATAGTTTATTATCCCGGATCTGAGCAACGAAAACCTGGTCTCTCAACCTAACTAACTAAGGACAGAATATAGGCTAATGCGACAAATAGAAATCCATTGTTTCTTAAAAGGTTATTGAATCGTATAGTGATTGACTCCTGTTAAGCTTTAAAGTTTAAAGAAAATATAAATTATAAAACTTTAATAAAGCTGGCGCTGTCCGCGGCGTCACCGATATACCGCGGCTACCTGACCGACGTCGACTGTCGCTGGAACGTGATCTCGGCCTCGGTGGACTGTCGCACGCGCGAGGAGCGCGGTATTGAACCACTCAAGACCAACAAGTTCCGTATACAGAAGTCCAGATACGATTCCATTGATTCCTATCTATCACCGGATCATGAGAAGTAACTACAATTTTAAATTAATATTTTTCACCTCAATGCATTAACCAACTTTTCTTTTTAATATTCGTTTGCTAAACAAACAGCGAGTATCAATAGATTCAAACACGAAGTAGGATAAGACTTATATCATAATGTTTTATTTTTGTTTAATAAATCAGACTTCATAGTTCGCGTGTAATAAACAAGACAGCCTATAACAATTACTAGTACATCTTAGAAATACTTGACGTGCCTTTAGATTTCAATGCAAAATCCGTGACCTGTATTCTACTAAAACTACCTAGTCATTGAGATAATTTGCTCAACAATTTGTAAGATATAAATAACGAGTGTGTTTTTTGTAACGAATAATGATAATACGACGTCATCGCTACGTTTGTGCGGCCGGATGACTAAAAGGAAACAAATTACTATGAATAAACAATATACACAATCATAGTGACTTATCACAAACTACAGTTCAAATGAAATCGTGTTCTCTTATCTTTGTACAAGTAGCGTGAAGTTATAGTCACGGAAGATGCTTGGAAGATTTACGCGATATATCATTGATATACACATATGTATATATATATATATATATATATGTAACGATACGGCACTATAGCGACAGTATCTATGCTATAATTTGATGCGTGGTCTTAGTCCAATTAAAGATCTTTTGAATATATTTATTCATTTTAAATATATTTTAAATCACATTTTATTTTCCTTAATCAGTCTACAACCGAACGATTAGAGCGACGACTAGTTTCCATCATTCTAGAACGAAACGAATTGGTTTAGAACACGCATATAGAAATACGTAAAATTGTAAGAAGCATAACGTTCCAGATACAACGACATTCCGATAGTGCACGACGCGGCGATCTACCGGCGGCTGCGTGAGGGAGGCATCGACCATCCACTGGCGCTGCACGTCGCACACCTCTTCATCCGCGACACCGTCTCTCTCTTCTCTGAGAAAGTCAACCAGGACGACAAGAATGACACCGATCATTTTGAAGTAAGGAACCGGAACAGGGGCGATGTTCTACAATTTGTAGTGCGTAGTTTTAAAACTTGTCGAACGTATATCATTTATATTTATGTGTATACAGAACATTCAGTCGACGAACTGGCAAACGATGCGCTTCAAGCCGCCGCCGCCCAACTCCTCTATCGGGTGGCGCGTGGAGTTCCGGCCGTGCGAGGCGCAGCTCACCGACTTCGAAAATGCCGCCTACGTCTGTTTCGTGGTGCTGCTCACGCGCGTCATACTCTCCTATAGGCTCAACTTCGTCATGCCGATCAGCAAGGTATACAGTTATTTGTGCAGCCGTTTATATAACTGTTGAATTGTATTAAATTGCAGCTTGATCTGAAATAATGAATGTAAAAAGTTTATTTAATGACGTCGTATAGGAAGTGAAGCATTAGGAAAATCATTTTGCGCAAAACAAAAGGTTGCGAACCTTATGTTCAGTAAATGGGGGGCATATGACGACATATTTGATAATAGCGTGGTGCAGGTGGACGAGAACATGCAGCGTGCGCAGCGGCGCGGGGCGTGCCTGTCGGAACGGTTCTGGTGGCGCCGCGACGTGGGCGCGCCCGCAGCGCCCGGCCTCACGCCGCAAGCGCCCGACGCCAGCGACCAGTACGCCGAGATGTCTATTGACGAAATTGTTAATGGAAAGGTATTATTCTCACTTCTCGATATGATTTAAATTATCGGTTTACACATTTAAAATGAATAAAAAACAGTAGAATTATAAAGACGTTAACATCGATTTCAAAACTACTTTCGATGGGTTAGCTGGTTAACAATTTACACAAATTAGTTTCCTTTTGTCATTTTGTGGTTGTGTGAATATTATGTAAATTAATACTTGTAAATATGTGAGCAGGAAGGCATATTCCCCGGGCTGATCCCGCTGATCGAGTCTTATCTGTCGGGCATGGACGTGGACGCGGACACGCACTGCTCCGTGCAGCAGTACCTCAAGCTGATCCAGCGACGTGCGCACGGAGACATCGCCACTATGGCCGCCTGGATGCGTCACTTCGTCACCTCGCACCCGCAATACAAGTACTTACATCATAACATCTAACATTGATTTCCTTCACAATTTCCCGCAATATTTTCAAGTTAATAATAAAACGTATTTTCTTATAGCAAAGACTCAGTAGTGTCAGAGAAGATAAATTACGACCTACTGAAGACAGCGCACGGCATCCAGACGGGTAAGATCCCCGCGCCCTCGCTGCTCGGCACCAGCAACGTCTCCAAGACCAACGAAGACATTCCCAAGGCGTTCAGCAAAATGATGAGCAAGGACTGCCCCTAGCGGGCGCCCTAGTGCCTTCCACTGCGGCCCAATCAACAAGTACTTGTTACATCATACCAGTGCACGATAACATGACGCCTGTCCGATGACGTCACTACAGGGTTATGTACGTTGTACAAAAAAGGTTAAGTAATGCGATTTGATGGAATACTAAAATATCAAATACTCGTTTTATATTTGTAAACTACCTTCATAGGCCGCGCGTTAGTTACTACTTACTTTTGGCTTATATCGTGAAATATTTGGTTTAATAATCGTTAAACAAGGAATGTTACAATGGAGAAAGTTAGACGATGAAAGAGGATTTGCCGTATTCCATATGGGTGTCATGTTATTGTGCACGCGTAGCATTTATTGTTGCCTTTAATAGTTTATACACGACAATTATATAGATAGTGCCGCTGTCCAGGAAGCTGCAGCGGTAAATGTTATAAATTTATATCGGTTTAAATCAATTAAAACTTCAAGTATACTTAGAAAAACATTATTGTGGAAAGTAACATGCATACTACTCACTGTTCTGTGCATTATCGCTTTGCGACTTTATGATACACCACTAAGAGGCCGCTAAGCCTCTATCAAAGTGTCTATTCAAACTTACAAGCGATCAGTTTATCCATTTATTATATACAAATTAAACTGTGATTGATTTATTATTACTCTTCTTAGAACATTCAGGTTATTTAATGATGATTTCTTTGATTTTCTTAGCCCAGTGATTGTAATATTTCAAATATTTATCTACTATTTATTGGCCATTGTACTGTTATTATGTTTTTTTTTATTGGAATATTACAATTTTTAAAGGATTTATTAATCTGTTTATGGAGTATAGAGTTTCTGTTAAGTAGAGTATGAAAAATTTTAATGAAAAAATTACTTTTGATTTTTAAATACTTCTACACTGAACATGACTTGTTTGAGCTGAAGCATACTATGGGCTAAGAGAGAAAGAGAGACTAAAATAACTAACCTATTTGTAATTTCATTATAGCAAATTTTTAATTAGATTTTTATTTTGCTAAATTAACTGTAATGGTCGTCTAAAGATTTCGAGCATTTTCAACTCAATGAACTAGCTACTTTAATAAATAAAAGCGATCAAGTAACATTATTTCATAGTGCAATATAAAGACACTAGAGCGGGCTGCTGCGACTTTAAGTCGCGCGGCAAAGAACGGTAGTGGGCGCCTATCCCTACCCTTAGACTAGTTAATTTAATTTACATCTCAAATATATCAATATTATTCTCGTATAATTCCTTTGTAATTAGTTTTCTGTTTAAAAAATGTTGTCTTGTACGCAGATAAATTTATTTCAGTTCTACGTATTTTCCAAAAAAAAATAGTAAATTCTTGTCACCACAGAATACACTCATCATCAACCTGCCGTTGTCCCTTAAGATGGTCGGCATAGTGTGTAGAGTAGGACACTAGCATGCATCTCTATTAGTTGTCATATCTAATATTCACTCTGTTCTTACGTATGTTCTCTTGCGCACCATCCAACCATTCTTTCTTCGGTTGTCCTCTTTTTGGCTAAATATTCATCCACATTCAGTTTTAAACCACACAATACACTCATTACAAGAGATTTAAGTATTTATACACATACTCTAATAATTATAGAGGCAACTTTTTTGTCACGACTATGAATAGGAGCATCATATACTTATTTTTATTTCATGATAAACTCTTATGTCGACTTATTTCCTAAACATATTACACAATTATTAGAAATTTCATATTTGTAGGGGCGACCTTGTACGTTGCAATCTAGTATTCTTCCCGTATTATTTTAATTATGGAGTGGATCTTCTTATTCCATTCTGCTATGTTTATTTGGTACGTCACATACAATTATTTTTTATATCTTCTTAACAAAATATAAAAATTCGTTATATAAATACTTACTAATCATAAATATAATTAAATTACTCAAGAAAAAAATAGTGAGAAATGTTTTAAAGAACTGCGGCAGTATTAATATTCAAAACATTCACAAATAGTTCCTATATAATAAGAGAAAGCTATAGACGTGTATGGGTAAATTGACAAGTGAAAAATAGGGTTGTGAAAGAACAAGAAAAGCGAAAATAATTAAATTAGCAAGTCTTGATGTCTATCAAAATGCGCGTTTGTTTCATTTTCAAATATCCAATTCCAATGTTTTGTAGGTGCGTAAAGAAGGTTAACTCGTTCCGTACCACTATGATTTTTACGATGTCTTCTCGGTTTTCTTGACGGTGTCTGCACTCTTGGCACTCTTGGTAACACTGAACGTGTTAAATATAACAAAATTTTCTTTTCAACTTAATGTTTACGGTTTGTGGATAGTTTGATTGTCACTTGCTTATTTGTGTAGTTATAAGACTGTACGTGAGACGTACAACATACAAATTGATTTTGACGTGTGCCTTTAATACTGAATACTTTTTGATTGATGTAATTCTATGAATGCATTCTTATGTTTTGTACATTCTTTAAACTGTAGGTTTCCAAAAGACAGGTATAAAAATGTATTGTCATAATTATCTTTCTCTTTGAAAAACCAGAGATATAGTTAAGTTTTTTACGAGTGTTTCAATCTCACTGCAGACAGATTCTGTCGTTTTGAGAAACATTTAAAAACGAGGATAACATTTTGACAATATAAATTGTCTGTTGATGTTTCAACTTAATCGCAATATTTTTAGTTTTTTTTTTAGTTTAACGAATTTATAGAAAATTTGAACAAATCAATTTCTTTATATTATTATGAGGGCACAAAATGTATGAAAAAATATTTTACAAAAATTGTGATTGGAACAGGAGGTTCAACAGTTTTATGTTTTTTTTTTTATATTATGAATTAAAATCGTTTTTATTTTATATTATTTTGTTCTGTTACCAGTAATTATTATTTTAGTCAATAGTTTTGCAATTAAATAAAAGGGTTTCATGTTAAAATAATTGTTTTATTTTTGTCAGTTTACTTACAGGTACGTTACAATTTAGAATTTGTCGACTAATTGCAATATGTGCTGTTGTTCCTGCTGACGCCATTCTTCGCTGCCGGCGTCACCAAGATTGCCCGCATATTCTGTGCAAAAATAAACGACACAATGAATTGTGTAAACTTATACATTAAAAAAACAGACAATTTGAAAGTCCTCTAGCAAGAAATACCTAAAATTTACTATCGGCTTGCATGTTTATTGTCTTTGTGTTATTTCATGTACAATAAATAAGAAATAAGCTCTGCTTTCATGTATTAGTTACTAAAAAGCACGACTATTTGTATTGTCACATGATTTTAATACCTCTCATGACGTGTCGTATAATCTTCAGAGATCCGCCGCGTAACGACAGCACATGTTGCACGCGCTGCTTTATTGAAGATGGTCCCGCAGTACACACCTTACAAAGGAAAAATAAATACAATGCATACAAAGTATGGTCGAATACAATAGAAATGAGAAATTATAACAAAACGATGTAAACAATTTTACCTTTATAATGCTGTAATCATAGATTAATGAAAACAGACATTGTATAATTCATTTAAACACTAAAACTTTTCAAAATAAATCCATAGGTCATTTTTTATATCAATTTAGCACTCGAAACGAGCAGTTCTATGATAGACATATAGTATTTATGAGTAAAGTGGTTTTAGTATATAAGATGTAACTTACTTCCAAAATAATTCTATCAATAAGTTGCAAAGTAAAGAGACCACCGGACAATCTCTTCAAATACTGCGCGTCATCGTCACTGTCGTCATTGTTTAGCTGCAACACAAAATAAATAATTATTAATACAATTTGAACGCTCAGAAAAAATACTGAAAAGTAACCAAATAACACACTATTTAATTTTCTTTATAAGAGGTGTTCATCGAAGCACATGGATATCTGCAAGACCATCAGTGTTTTTTTACAGTTTATGTATCGTATTGTTAAGTTATATACACATACCTCCATTTCTTTTTCCGTCCTGTCTACCTTGTCCATATATTTAAAATGTAATTCCAGTAGTCTGTCAACTTTTTCCAGATCATTTTCAGTGAACTTTGCCAAAAGTCGTTGTCTTTGGCTGCCTTGACAGTTGCGTAACATCGATGCTATTATAGAAACTACATGTTCTGTAAATAATTAAATGTATTTAACGAAGAACTATAATTATAAAAAAAAATATTTAAAATTTAACTACAATAATCTTTCAATTTACCTTCATGTTGATCAACAGTGAGCAATCTTTTTCTTTTCGGAGTTTTCATAAATAATGGAAATACAGTTCTTAGACCTAAAATATCTACAAACTTATTGCAGTTGTCCTTCCCGTCTGGTCCGGCCAGGGCATGGTCTAACACTTTTAATGAACCATTCCGTGACATTTTCTTTTCTCTGCAATAACACATTTATAAATTTAATTAACGATGCTTCGATTGCAATTAATTAATAGTAAAACAGTTTTTGGTTTAGGCTGATGAGCGCCATCTTACCAAATTATTTTTTCTATTATGTCTTATGGTGTAAAAATTAAATTATCTTTGTTATACTTTACCTTAACATAAGATTCATAAGTTGTAATCCCTCGCCTCTTAGAAAACGATCTCTATTAGAAGATTCCATTAGAGCACAACAGAGTGTGTCAAACATGTTTTCCATGGCTTCTTGTTCTTCCGCACCACTTGGATCATGTCTTTTATAAAACTAAAAGCATAAAAACAGCACTTCAACACATATTTCAGTTTCAAAACAAATTAAATTAATGTAAATTTATATATTACCGCCAATTGCTGCAGCAGTACATCAATTCCATCTAATTCTCCCAACAATTTTCTATTTTCCGGAGTATTTTGTAGCAGTATTGACAAAATTTCTGTGGCATATAATTTATTTCCATCAAATGGTACTTTTAACTGAAAAAATATCCAATAAATTTTAAATAATCCACTGATAATGAACTTTTTTTTAAATAATACAACATTAATAAAAATAAATTACTTTCAGTCTTTTAAGTATCCACTGTATAAATCCTTGTTTAGCAACTTCATGACACAATTCTGGACGAAATTCAGTAATGTTTTCAATTATTCCTGTAAAAAGTAATACAAAAAAATCATAAATTAGAAAATTTTTCAATCACTCCCCTGGTCAAGAGGTCAACTGCGGTATGGAGTACTATATTTTGTTATCATACCCAATGTATTGTGTACAGCATCTCTTTCATCTGGCACCTGTTCATCAAGCCGGGCGAGGTTGTGCAGCAGCAAAGCGGGAGCGTCTGCCTCAGCTAAGGCTTTAATTAACTCTTCAGCACCCTCTTCACTTTCATGCAGAATGTCTACATCAGTTAATTCCTATAAAAGTGTAACATGTTTTAATAATCAATAAGTGACTTACAATTCAAAATTTTCCATACAAAACAAAGTTTCTTCAGAGAAGCTTGTGGAAACTAAGTGAAGTTAATTAGTTGGAAAGGTATTTACAGCCTTTTGTCATTAATTTACAAATAATTTTTAGTAGTGTAGTGAACACACCTGTAGTAAGTTTACAACTTTAGTTGAGATATCAGTGTTGTCATGTGACAACAATTCTAAAAGAGAGTTAATGCATTTTAATTCTACTAATAGAGGATATTCATCGGGGACTGTAGCAACAGCACTCAGTTCCTGAAAGTAGGGAAACACAATGAAAATAAAATAAAAGTCTATAAACTTATACTAGAAAAAATAATTTGTATAACCAATTCTTATTGAAGTATATACTCTGAAGATGTTTGTTAGTAATTAAATTGACTTTTCCAATATTAATGTTAATTATAAAAGAAAATTATATGATGTCACTTAAGAATGGTTGTGCCAATAACATTTGTTAATACAATTTGTGTAATTACTTGCAAAGCTTCATGTAAATCAATTTCACTCTCCATGAACTTTTCAGGTTGATCTGGAAACTTTATTCTCATTTCTCTGTTTTTAAGCGCTTTCTTTTCAAAATTTAAAACTAATTTTTTTACAGCAGTATCATCAAGCACTTCACCCTGGAATTAAAAGAATAAAATGAGAAGAAAAATTTCTGACAAATGGATGTATTAAAAAATTTCAATGTTATAAACAATACAAAAAAGTAACAAATTGTGTTTAGGCTGTTCTGATTACAAAATTAATACCTCAGTAGTCTCAGTTTCCACAAATCTAAGGATATCTTCCCTTTCTTTATCCGTAATCATTGGCTCTTTAGGCAATGTTTGGCCCTTAAGCTGAGATGTTCTATCATTTTTTAAAGCCATACGTCGTGCCTTAGATGGTTTGGATATTTCATCTTCGGATCCATCACTATCTTCATCATTTGGTCGTTTTGGAGTTGGAGTTGGCTGTAAAATAAATACACACCATTATAAACAGTTTGTAAACAATTGAATTTACTTCATCAATCGGTGTAAGCTTAAGAAAGATTGTATAAAATTTAATAAGCGAAAATTATTATTCTAAATAAAAGGACATCTTTAAAGTGTAGTTACAAATCTAAATGAATATAACCTTAAAAGATAGTAATTCGCCGACGTCCATAACTATCTTTTATTGTTCAGAATAGAGCTTAATTGATTCGTATATCATCAGAATTAACAAAATTATTATCCAAAATCAAGTTTAAGCACGATTGTTTACAATTGAGAATTGTAGTCAATAAATCTATAACCTAAAACTTGCTAATGTCAAGTGTCAAAGAGCAGGTCCTATATAAAGATAAATCATAGACAAACTGTCATTGCTATTCTACAGCACGGTAAAATTTAAAATGCCAATATTGCGAAAAGACAACGCGGACATATTTAAAAGAGGTAATTTTCTTAATATAAAAGAAACAAAATAATAATTAATAAAACATATTTCATTAAATGGTAAATATGGTTTCGTCTTGGCATTACGACTTATAAAACAGTTACATAAAATGAAAGAAAAACACTCATTATATTGAAAGTTATGTATCAGTCAGACAGATCAATCAAAAGTTGCGCCAAATGATGTTTTCATAAATACATTTAATTTAACTAAAACTTGAAGAATCTTAGTAATGTCGCAAGATCATACATTTTGTAATATGCTATTACAATGTCTTAATAAAGATACAAATTCTTCTATACAGCCCGTTAGTTACCTAACAAGCTATTTCACATTATTTGGATAAATAAATATTATTTACTTTAACATCTCTTTTACAGGATCTTGCAGCATCTTTGGAGCATTTCACAAAAAATGATATTTATCGAATTTTAGAACTCATTCATTTATCTAACGACACTCAGATACAAATTAAATTGATATCTGTTTTAACAATTTATCTGATGTCCAAAGTAATGTTTTTCCCTTATTTTTTTTAGTATAACTGTAAAATAATTGCGTCTTTTACATTCGATTGTTCCTTGTACAACTGGGCTTTATTGACAGCAAGATAATTTACCTGTATTTTTATTTTAGTTCTTAATATTTTAGGACCCTGACAGAGAAATGATTATAAAATTTAACCCCTTATACGATAAAATATGTGAGATACTAACAAAGGGTCACCAAAAAAAGTCTTACCTAACTTTAAACTTCCTCTCGAGCCTTCTGCACACGGATGACGACGCCGCGTGTACTCGGGGCCGCGCACAAGTTCTTTACGCACAGAATATGATTCGAGCCAGCGGATGTCTGATGGCTATGGCTAATCTATTCATTAATGGTTTACTGGTAACTACATACGTTTATGCAGTTTCGTTTTAGACTACAACTATTCTTCCCGTGAGTACACATTATAAAGTTAATTCCGTAGCACCAGGATACGTGGCAAGCGCTTTGTCGATGCCTCGCTGACTCGTGTTCCGGTTTGGAAAGTAATCAGAACTACTGCTCACATCTTATTCCCGTGGTAAGTACCTTATTCATTTGCATCTTGCAAATATTGTAGATGTATTCAGATAGTTAATAGAAGGATTATAAGAGAGATTTTCCCATGTTACGACGCGGATCGGTATTCTATTCGTATCGTATGCACTGTTTGCATAGTATATGTAAAAGATAATACGCTGTATTTAAGCTAGAATATTTAATAATATTATAATAAATTTATGAGTAATTTTTTTCTTTATCATGATGTCCAGTGCGTGCGTCGCTGTCGGCCGGGTAACGAGCACGTATTCCAAGTAGTACAAAGTTTGCTGAGTAACAACGAACGTAACACCCAATTATTCTTCAAGAGTGGCGGCTGTCGTATGTTCAATAGGCACGCATTACAAATGTTGTATCAAAAATGGCTTAAAGAAATTCACTAAGTTTAAAATTTTAAATAAATACGTTTTATTTTGTAGAGAGTATTTGAAATACGACCGATGTTTGCAAGTTTTAAATACTGTTGTATCAAATCCGGTCGTGAGAGACAAAGTCTTAAAAGATACTAATATAGTTGTCGATTTGCAAGATTTAAAACAATTGTACGGATCTACGTCACAAGTTAGTACTTTTCATTTGATGTAGTAAATATTATAATATTTAAAGATGGCTTTTGTTCCTTTCGCGATGTAACGATAATCGTTTGTAATATACAATTAGATGAATGAAGGTTTTCTCTTTACAGGTGGGGCAATGGATGTCAATCATTTTTTACACATTAAATTTGAAAGGTCAAGGTAAAAACATTTCAAGGTCATAAGTTCCATGATATTATTGAATTACTTATAATACACTGCGTTACCAAATCCCCATGACTATACGGAAGATAACAATCGAGTAACACCTTACTTTGTCAATAGGGAAAAATGTATAATTAAAGAAAGATTTATTCAATTATTCAAACTTTTGTGAGACATTATACTAAACTGTTATAAAAACGGCTAAACACTCACGTATACACACGAAATAATACCAGTACCACTCATCCTGATGAAGGAAACTAGTCGGTGCCGCCACCGGATGAATATACGTGAGTGTTTAGCCGTTTTTATATCAGTTTAAAGATTTATTCGTTTCAGATTACGTAAAAGGAGTAAAAAATACTGAGCCTTTGTTAAATAAAAAGTGTGAAAATACACGTATGATAGGTGACAACGTGCTGCACGTACCAATTGTCAACAGTATGAATTCTGATAAAATGGAGGATACGTCGGAGTTATTAAAAAATATTATAACAGAAGTTTTAAATTACAAACAAAGGCAAAATATAAATCCCAATATAATAAATACATCAAAATCATATCTTTCCAATAAAATATTTAAAGATGCTAATATTTGTATCCAGAGTATGAAAGACTCTATTGATATACAAAAACCAAAAAACAAAACCGAACTGAATATTTCTTCACTTTCATTCTTATCAAATAATAATACAATTGAAAGTTCTTTAAATATTAACTTTAAAGACGAAGAAAATTTTTACGATAAAAGCATTTGTTCTAATAAAAAAATATTTGTTGAAAAGAAAAAAGCGACAAATAAAAGTGTAAGTCATTGTTGCAATGAAACAAAGGAAAACACGCAGATAAGTATAGATTTTAAGCCAAAATGTGCCTCAACACCTAAACAAACTATAACGAACAGATCAAATAATTTCACACCAAGGCCTATACACAAATCTTACAAGAAACAATATAAAAACTTTTCTATTGACTCTGAATTCAAAATGAAAACTAAAAGTAATAAAGACGAAAGTGTTCAAAGGAGATTTGGAGCCAGTAGGATACTGGATGTGATAAACGAAACTTGTACGACAATAATGAAAAGCGTTACAAATGTCTTCAGATCGAAGAAAAGAGAAGACAGTTTAAGTCAAAGCTACAATAGTGAGAGACAGAGTCAGTGTGCGAACAGCTTCACCAACTATATGAGGCGAAGAGACACTATGTTAGAGCAGGACAGCACTAACAGTTACTGGAACGATTTAATGGAAGAAGTACAATACGAATGCAACACTTGCAATGATACATTATCACTCAGGCGAAAGTTTTCAAACGATGACTTCCTCAGAGAAACCGTTAATAAGCTTAAGTTGGGTATTAATCTCTATGGATGTAATTTTAAGGTAATTATTACAAATATAAATTCCGGAATTTTTATACCATATTTTTTTTTCTACATGGTTATAGTTTAAAAAACATAATTAGAGAAATTAAAATTGTTAATTTACAGAAAATATCGAAAACGTTTTGGCGGGATGAAAATTACATGACACCTACCGTTCTCTACAATTTGTATAGGAAATTAATTCTGAAGTAATTTATCTTGCAAAGGACCAATCTTCAATTTTTCCAAAATACCCGACACTGTAAAGTTTTTTAAAATTCAAATAAATGGTTATAAATATTCTTTGTGTTTTCATAAACCATTATACAGAATATAATTTTGTTTATAATATAAATATATTTTTTTAGAATAAGAGATCAAAAGGATTATTAACAGTTTTATTTACAAGCTTTATAGTTTACTGTAGGCAGACTCGTGTACCACCATATCTTTCGTAATGTCGGCGACCGACGATGTACCTGTAAGAAAAATAAGAAAATAAAAAAAAAATCTTCATTTGCTTCACACGTGTATTACCAGCTTTTTTGTGAGAAACACCACACATACGGTTTCTAGAGAAACTAGGTTATAAGAGATAAGTTGCGAATTTAAAGGAGATTTGACCACAACGATTAGAAAATAATTCTTTAGCGTACCTGCGATATTGAAAGTGTACTCCAGTTCAGTTCTGAATATTTTGAGCATACGTTCAACACCGGCCTGTCCGCCCAGCGCTAGACCCCACAAAGCCGGCCGACCTACGAACACCTGGAAAAGACGATTTTTGCATACACAATTCTCTATTTAAATATTCTAAACCACCTTAAAATTATAACTGTAAACAAGTATATAATTATCAGCCTTTTTTTTAATAAAGACGTATTCAATTGATTAGTATCTGAGTTATGGAATAATTACCGCTTTCGCGCCAAGAGTCAAAGCTTTATAAACATCCGTGCCAGTCGAGACTCCACCGTCCATGTACACCTCCACATTGTAATGTTTTACTGCTTCCACTACTTCAGGTAGTGCTTCGATCTGTAACACAAAACACAGTTCACTTACGTAAAGGAATATTGGTAGAAAAAATCGATTGATCGAAAAATAATTTGCATATTACTTCGACAATATATTATGGTTTGGAGTTTTTTTTTTATTTTATTACTGGGAATAATTCATTTGTATTTTATTAAGCCACTTACCGATGCTGGAACGCCATCCAACTGCCTAGCGCCGTGGTTTGAAACTAAAATGGCGGAACATCCTGCATTGACAGCTTTTACGGCATCATCTCCTCGGAGAATTCCCTTCGCTATTATTGGTAAATTGGTGATGCTATAAATAGTTTACGTTAAGACGATTTTGTTACGCTTTTATAATGTATAACTTCAGAAAATCATCGTTTCTTACCTTCTTAACCATTTTATTTCATCCCACGTCAAAGACTTGTCGAAAAGATTATTTACATATGTATTTAAACCACTTCCTTCACCCGAAGAGTGTATTTTAGTTGAAAGGAAGCCCTCGAAATTTGAAAGCCTAGAACAAAAATTTATTTTGTGTTTTTACAACCTATTAACAGATGGCGTTCATGCGTACATTTTGTTAGTATATAAAAAAAGTTGGTAAACATGTACCTAAGATGCTGGGGCAAACTGAACTTGTTGTGAACGTCAGCTCTTCTTAAGCCAAAAACTGGAGTGTCAACTGTTAATGCTATTGCCTTAAAACCTGCCCTCTCGGCTCTCAACACTAAATTTCTTGTTACTTCCCTGAAAGATCATTTTTAGTTTATAAACAAACAGTTCACAATCAACACATTAATTAGTAAATGCTTAACTATGCTTATTATTTATATACCTTAAAAATCAATAAGCACATATCACCTACCTATCATTATAAATATAAAGCTGGAACCACTTTACAGCGCGTGGTGCGGCCTTCGCTACTTCTTCAATAGAACTCGTAGCGAGAGTGCTTAGCGTAAAGATCACACCTTCCTTTTCGGCGGCTGCAATTCAACAGATACATATTTGTATCAAACGTATAAAACTTATTACAATTACCATGTTTTTGTATCTTACCTTTGGCATTTGCTATTTCACCATCAGGGTGGGCCATTCTCTGCATAGCCGTCGGTGATATACCCACTGGCATAGAGACTTCATTTCCCAATACTGTTGTTCGCAGGTTACAATCAGTTAATCCTACTAGACATTTTGGACGAATCCGCAATCTGTTTGATTTGTTAAAGTAACGGGTTTAATTTTACTTTAAAATTTATTTACACATATAATTATCGGTAAAACTTACCTTTGAAATGCACGTTTATTTTCTTGCAACGTATGTTCATCCGTTGCCCCGCTCTTGTAATAGTCTCGGGCAGCTTTTGGCAACACGGAAGCAGCGGCTTCTTCTAATTCTTTTATACTTATATATTTCTCCATTTTATTTAACAAGATGAGTGATCGCCGTCCAATGAATGTAAGAAAATGACTATAAACATTACGTATTCTTGATAACAAGCCTTGTTAATGATTTATCAATACATACGCTTAGGTCACACAGGTTATAATGTTGTTTTGGATAACCATTATTTTGCATTGTCTGCCGAATTGATGGTTACGTAATTAAAAAATTCGATTTCCTATCTTTCTACATATTCGTGACAATTTGTAAAATTATGGGTAACGAAGAAAATTAACTGATTTAAAATAAAACTAGATCTACGGTAAGTTCTATCTATAAGCCTACTAGTTTTAGCTCGACTTATAACTACGGAAGTCTGGTCACATCCAAATAAGCTCCTGTAACCTTTCAGCCCCGTTATGGTTTTTCAATGGCAAGAAGTTGTTCCATTTTATTAACAACTTTTGTTTTCTAGAACTAATGTATGAAAAATTGAAGCGGACAGGCGTTTTTCAACGTTGTTCTCAATTATTTTACATGCTTTATTGTCTTTTGTAAGGTGTAACGAGTATTTTGAGACTGATATCGAGTCATTTGCAACTATCAGGAGTCTAAATAGCGACAAAAGTGATCAGGTTAACTTTAATTTGAGCAAGCCTAGAATTTATTTTTTACTCTATATAAAGTATTTTGTTGGGACGAGATTATAACATAAATAAAACACGTTTTTGTAAATTTATTTCTTGATTTTATTATTACATTAGAATGCAGATTTTAGAGCATTCTATAATGTCAAAAATGCCATTTGTTACATATTTGCCATAGAAATATTATATAAAACTCAACTGGTCTCACAATATTTTATCAATTATAAATTTTAACATCGTTTAGGCTTACATGTATGCGGTGGATCTTTATAAACAGTATGCAACTTTAATGGTTTTTGACAGGATACCAAATATATTTTTTAAACATCTTTGCCTTATTTATATTGTGTCTGGTGTACGGAGGAGACTGATGTTCCTTACAAGATTCCAATGAGGTCGAATCGTATTTGAATTTACAATTAAATGACTCAATAGTTCTAATGATATATACAAAATCATGGAACTTGTAAATTTTCATGCAGAATCTGATTGTTTGGCAGTTTGTAGATTGATACACCATTTCTATCTCACCTATCTAATTCTATAAGGTCAATCACATTTTCATTATTAATAACAAAAACACATTGTTAACTTTGCATTTTATAAAAGATACAAAACATTTTATTTATTAAGCTATGAAGAAAAAAGTCCGCCTAATTTCTTTCCACCTACCAACGCATCTTTGGTAATAAGTTAATAACAATCAACGGCTTATGCACCACGCTTCCAAAAATTATTAAAAATCATCTATACAAGTTCCCTGCGAGCTACAAGCACGTCGAGGTATTTTAAACGATCAAACTTAAATGTATAATCTTGCCTTAGCGAAAGAAAGGTAATATATAATTGCGCTTATGCTTTTTCATAGCATTTTTTTTTCGTTTGCTATGAAATATGTAGATTATAAAGAGCCAGAGAATTGAGCAAAGAAAATGAAAATAAGGCACGAGGTCTATCAGACCAGTATCAATTTAAAACTTATGTTGTACGTAACACCAATGTGCTCTCTCTACATACAAGTGTTGCGGTGGTTTAAGTAGACAAGTATCCAAGTTATATTATCTACATGTAGAACTAATGTGATTGTTGAAAAACAAAATTTAAGAACAAAGTGTAATATAGAATATATTATTTTTAATTATTTTTATTTTATTATACTTTAGAATGTTTTATAATATGACTATTCAACTTTAATTACAACAAATTAAGTCCTGAATTGAAATATTCGCAACATTTTCATCTAAGAGATTGAAGGCAAATTAAATTTAATTACTATAAGAAAAGAAAATATACAACCGTAAAGAAATATAAAAATAAATAACATAATATATTACAAAGCAGAACATTGATATAGTGGCAACATTTTGTGTTAGACTAGTAAGGAATACCTACATAACTACTTTTTAGTCATCAAATACAATCTAGCCGTTATCGATAGAACACTATTAAGCTTGATTCGTATTAGGCCAAAATAATGTTCCGACCTGTGTGTAATATGTAACTATGAATACCAAATGGTTTTTATTGTAAAAATGCGTAATTGCTTTTAAGAAAATTACGTGCAACTTGTCCTATATAAAAATTATATGATAATTCTATCGTTAACCAAAACTTATTTCTTGTGTTATGTGAAAAACTAATAATTTTATTTTTATTTATATACACTTCGAATGCAGTACATATGACTATCTACACTGTTATTCAGTTTCGATTTTAAATTGAAAAAAAAACAATTATTTCATAAAAAAATTCAGTCAAATTTAAGCAAAAAAAATCAAAACCAGGTCCGCGACCTAATCTAGATAGGATGAGATCTACCTTTATGAAAAAATCACAAATTTTATATTATTCCTACTTTTAAATCTGTTAAGGAAATATTGTACGTGACATAAAAAGATTATTTTAATAAATTCTTGCCTATAGATACATATGTTCCCTTAAGCTTGCATGTTAATAAAAATGAATAAATCCGATAATTTTGTTTTTTTTGTATGTATACTGAGCGTCGTAAAGATGGGGGGGATACGTTACGTAAATGCATAATCACAAATAATTGAACATTCTATATTTTTGTTATATTTGTGTCACACATAGTATGAAAATAATAATTATTCAATATGAAACATCGATTACGGATTAAAACAAAGACAACGATAGCTCAAAACTATATGATAATAGTTATTTTAAAAACTACCGTTTAAATATTAAAATTCGCGTTTGTTGTTACTTTTGGTCGACTTATTTCACAAAGTTTCGAATTTAAACGATATTTAAATAACTTATTTATCCTGCAACAAGGTTATCTTGGGTTAAGAGGCGCTGCAGTCGCGGTTAGTTCTGTCAGAAAATATATAAAACCTACATAGCCATAGAAGACATAAAACGAAAATCACGATAAAACAGCTACAGTATGACAAGGAACTTGTGACACTTTTTCGACCTTGACAGGGGCGCTAATAAGCTATCATAATTTAATATGTCTTATACCCATTGGGTCAGATAACTTTATCGGACTACATCGAACAAATTATAAATTGATACGTAAAAGTTTTGTGACATTTAAGAAGACACGAAATATAAATGTGGAGTATAGTAAAACAAGGATATCTGGGCCGGTGTAAATTATGTTTATATCGCGGTTAGTTGTGTCAGAAATTATGTAAATCCTACAAGAGCATAGAAAATGGCATAAAAAACAGAACTTTACAGCTACGATATGAAAAAGATATTGTGACATATCTTTGACATTGACTGGTAGGCGCTACTCTGCTATCAGTATTTAGTTTGACTTAAGCCCACCGGGTCAGACATCCTTGTCGGCCTATACGTTCTTGCAGCAGTATATAGTCGCGTTCAAAATCAACACACGGTATTAGTCGAGTTGCACACTTTGTTACACTTTCTTAACATAATTAAACTTTAATATGCTATGCGTAAATAGAAAATAATTTTTTCTTACTGGGTATAAGGTTATGAATAAATCTTATTTAGAAAAAAATAAATACTATGGTACTTTTAAAGCGGAACATTAAGTTACATAAATAATAAAACAAAGGTAATAGTCGACCCCTTTGCAGGTCCGAACGCGCGCCGCGACACCGCGACGACGCAGGACCTCAATCGGCAGCGGTCGTACACGTACAAGGCGCCAAATGTAAAACTCCAACATAATACTTAATTTATAAATGCCCTCGTAAATTAATTTTACATATATCGTTAACATCACAGAACAAAACTACGGCTAAGCGTAAACCCGACGCGACCAACAAGCCTCACGAACGACACAAGCGCACATACTACGCCATGCGAATAGCTATTTATTAAAAAAAAAATACAGTATACATTAAAACTGTACTTCTTAAATTTATAAATGAATGTTTTCAGTATTATAAAGAAATTCTATAAATATTTAAAACTGTATGTGTATAAATGAAATTGCATTTGCCATAATACAGTAGGTCTAGCAGTGTCGTAGCCTACGAGGCGCGCATGGCGTGTGTCAGGTGACGTTCGTTTGGTCTCGTCGACGATCGACGCAAGCAACGTTAGGAAAAACCCGACGTTTTGTAAACAATGGGTAGCGATAAAATAAATAATTACGTAGAGGCAGACTAGAGGCACAGTGCGCAGGCGGGGCCGCAGCGCTCACAAGCCGGCGAGCGGGTCGCGCGGCGTGGGACTGGCGGGAGCGGGGGCGG